GACATGACTGTGGAGATTTTAGCCCAGGATTACTATGGTAAGTGGAGAGGAGAAAAATCTGCCAATGCTATATACTAAATGAATACACATGTAAAAGTAAAAGATACTCATGATCATCTTATTTTACTCAAAAAAATGGGAAGTCATCTAATGACAGACATATAGTAACAAAAGTACATCTTTAACGTAAGGGCAATTTATGTGTAAACCAGAGACTACATATAATCATTATTAATGGCTGGAAACTTTTCTCTGATTACAGACACAGGAAGACAGAGATGTCCACTTTTATTACTGTTGTTTACACCCAGTGGAAATAATCAAAAAGGAAATAAAAGGGACTCCTAATAGAAAAGGATAAAAATTCTGTACTTACAGATACCAAGGTTTTATACATAGAATATTCTGAAAACACACCAAGAGCAAACATGAGGTCTAGGGAAAGTAGTATATGTGCAAGAAATAATCCCTCAGTGAGAATCAATTAATCTTTGGTAACTATGCAAAAATGAAAAATGAGCATTGCATTCTTATGGTCCTGACATGACTGGATTCTTCTGTCAAAAGAAATACAATGGGTTTCTTCTCTATTTCACACTCTGCACAAGCTTGTTTTAAATTTAGTGCTAAACGTATAAATAAAAATAATCACTATTTCCTTGGGTTGGAGAAAATAATTATATAGTTAACACTAAATTCACAGGCAAAAACAGAAAGGAAGCATATATGGACCTCATAATAATTGATTGTTTTTTTTTAACCTCAAAGAATAACATGAAAAAAGTGGGGTTATAATAAAGGGAAAACCTGGCAACAGAAATTCAACTGCCAAACCCCACATGGTTAAACACAAAAACTTACTCTGAATTTTTCTTAGATCTCAGCAAATGCTGTTGCATACAACTCACAACTCACTTAAAAAATGAAATAAAAAGTTTGAAAACAGATATGGAAAGGCACACCATAATATGGGAGAATATTAAAAAATCATAAATCCTATAACAAATATCCTATAACAAATAAAATTGAGAAACACACATACAGAGATAGAGATAGATGATAGAAAGATAGATAGACTGATAGATAGATAGTTAATAGATTAATACTATTAATTTATAAAATGTAAAAGAAATTTAGTAGAAAGTTCACCAGAGAAGTTATGAAAGGTCAAAGTACACCATTAGACATGCGGGAAATGCATGTCAAAATCAATGGAAATATGCAATTACTACATAACATTTCAGTGAATGATAACATGTGTGATGTTGATCCCCTATGTTTATATTATGTGGTGATATTATTCCTATCTTGATTTTGTAAGTACACATTTTGACCTTATTATAAAGAAAAATCACTTAAGGGAACAATTCTTCAAATGTATCCTATTGGTTAAGCAACTTGTGACTATAACTTAAAATTATTTAAATTGTAAATGTGAAAAAATAAATCCCATTAATTGCTTAGTGAAAGTAAAACAATGTAGGGGTAGTGAACATCAATGCAGCAGTTTATTAAAATCATTTTTAAAAAGGAAAAAAGGATAAAAAAATCATCACTTAATCTAGTGACTCAAAATCTAAATATAAATGGAAAGAATTAAAAACTTGAGAATCAAATGACTCTTGAACATAATATACATTTTGACATAGTTAACATTGCCAAAGAGTAGAAAATATGTCTCTATAGAAATTAATTTTAAAACCATGTATATATATATATATATATGTGTGTGTGTGGTGTGAGGTTTGTGTGTGTGTGTATGTGTGTGTGTAGAAATAATAAGGCTGTTACTTAATCTTCATTGTGAATTAATCTTACTTTGTGGTAGTATGAATAAACTAGATAGGAAAGGACAAATATTACATAATAATATCTGCATTAAACAAAATCATAGTGAGTAAAGTTTAATGAGTTCATCAGGAACTAGGGAGGGAGACATTACCACTACTGCTACATAAATAGAATGAACACTTGTCAAATAACCTTGCCAAATATTGTAAATGTAGTTAACATTACTGACAGACATTGAAACTGGTCAGTGTACTCCTTATTGTGTTAAGTATGTTTTCGGCAATGAAAGTGTTTTGAACAGCAGAGTAGAGAATTTCCCAAACATCATATTTGCATATGCACGAAGCAATAGAGCTTCAGCTCTAACTGAACTTAGTAGAGTTTACATGAGTAATATTTTCAAGGTTGCCACATATTTTGAACATAGTATTTCATCAGTAAATCTAGAAAATGCCAATATAAATACATTTTTGAAATAAAAATGTAAAAATTACATTTTTGAATGAACTACAAGGTAAGTAAAACACAAAGATTAAATAATCTGATATATTAGTCTATTTTGAAAAACACAAATTTGAAAGCACTGTACAAAAATATCAAATTATTTTAATATTAAGGGTAAAATCAAAATTACTGTAAGGTATTATTTAACATTTGTAAAACTAAAAGTAGTATTTAATTGAACCCTATTTATATTATTTTTTGACCAACATTATATTTTATTAGGCACTTTCGGTTCTTCAGATATGATTATAAAAGTTATAGATTTGTAGTTTGAATGACATCATCCAGTTTTCCCAACAATTCATAAGCTCTGCATGCATTGTGACAATCCTTGACTGAATTCCTAATTTATGTGCTTGTTGTGATTCATAAAGTGCTGTGTCTAAGATACTGCCTAATAGCTTCTGTGAGCATCCACACATAACACACACTTTACTACACAAATTAACTCAGAAATGAAAACAATAGAAATGACTTCTGTGTATGGTCATTAATTTATGTTTGACATTTGTTGCTATTGCTTAGATTACTCTGCTGCATTATAACACAATGTAATAAGTTTATTGTTCCCACTCATTTCAAATCATTTGTTACCTTCATGCAGAACTTTGTGAATGATCACTAATTTCACTTGATCATACATTTACTTTCTCTAACATACCCTTAATATCTGGGAGTTTGGGTCCAGTGAGATGACTAATAGGATGAGGGTGCCTGTTACCACCTCTAATGACCTGATTTCAAACTCCAGGATATATATGATAGAGAGAACCTACTCCTACAAGTTTTCCCCTTAACTTCACATGCATGCCATGACGTATACATACCCATATAATATACACACATATATATGAATAAAATAAATAAACAAAAATATTAAATATAAAGCCATGTATATCATCACATAAAATTATTCATTATTGCATATCTTGAAGTTCATATACTGAGACTCTTCCTAATAATTTCTATTTTTAGTGTAAACATGATTACTTTCTCAATGCTTGACTGAATGCAAATATAAATGAAACATTTTTGTTTATTGTTGGAGATGAAGAATAAGAAATTTAAATTTTATTCTAACATATTAAAAATATACTCTGCCAAAAAAGAAAATTATGGTGTTTCTCTAAAAAAAATAAAAATAATTAAAAAAATTAGATTACAGAACAGACTGAAAACTCTAGTAGATTACCACCACCAAAGAAAATAAGAATCAGAGCCCACAGGGTAAGGGCACAAAAGGGACTGTTTTTAGGATAGACCTCGAGTTACTGCTCTGGGCTGTGATCCAGAAACAACACCGTCCCTGACATTTGCTGCTCATTGGAGGGGAAAAGATGCATTGTAGAAGAACTCTTTTGATCCAGTGCTAATTGTTTAATGTTACAAAAACATAGTAATTTTTACACGCACACACACACACACACACACACACACACACACACACACACACACACCACATTCTCCCAAATTATAGAAGATTTCAAACACAGAGAATTAAGAGAATTACTGTCAGAAATCATCACCCAAACCTCAATTCAAACAAGAGACTTTCATTTCGATCACACATTTGGCATGTGTGGCAAGAATGTGCAAGTGTTTTTGCTCCAATTTTCCTTTTTTTTTTATATTTAAATTTGTTCATGCTCCACTTTTCAATGTAATCATGATGGTAAAGGAATACAAATAGAATCTGCAAGACTTGAAAAACCCCGAGTTCAAATAGTAATAGGAAATACTACTCACAGATCATTAAACCTATATCTCACAGCAAGAACTAAGACAGGTTATGTGCATTATCAAATTTTACAATTTAGAAGATGAAGAATAGAAATTACTCCAGATGCTTCAGTTCAAGATAAAATCTAATAGGCGTGAGTGGACATCATCGGAGTGCGGCTTTTAATTCTTATTTGAAAGCATCAACAATATCTCATTTCTACATTGTCTATTGTTAAAGTGGATGTGAGCATTTTTTTTAATTTGCTCTGAAATTTTGAAAAAGTAGAGAAAAAAATAAAGAAAGAAAGAACGTTCTGAGCATGAAACAACGAAACATACACCTGACTACGTTACTGCATTTTCTTGTTTCCTTGGTTCTCAGGAAAAGCCAAGACCAAACTACTATTAATAATTTCCCCATTGTGCTCATGTTCTGAAGGTGCATTAGGAGAAGAAAGTCCTCATCACTCTGGATCTTACACAAAACCTGCAGCTGTCATAAGTGAGTTCAAATAGTTGTGCTATCCCCTGTCAGACACTCCCTAAAGAAAAAATTATTCTACTATTATTAAGCAATTTGGAATTCCTTAAGATTTTTACCTCTTAGGCATAAGAGAAATTTATTATTAAAACATACTATTTATTATAAAAATTACACCACCATTCAGGCTTAAAACAAAAGGCATTTCCAAAAATAAGGCAATATGCAAATTGTGTCATAGTAAAACATTTATTTGTTAAAGTGATATAGATTATTCAAGATTCTACAGTCTGTTAAATCATGGATGGCAATGTGGGATGGATTGATACAGAACTTGATGCCAACGAAGGCTTTGTTCTCTTTCCTTTCTTAAAAAAAATATTTGTAGATCAGAAGAAAAAAATTTGGTTTTAAAAGGGGATGAATCATGGTGTGAGAGAGCCAGTTCCACTGCATCAGAGACATCATCGCTTTGGCTCCCATGAGTAAATTCTTTAAGGACGGCAGTTCAACAATCCATTGTGAACTGAAACATTTTTAAATTTTATCCAGTAAAAATGTCAGGGGCAACTGTTTTCAAGAGAGAGGGAAGCAGTGTTCTTCATATTGACTCCAGCCTCTGCAATCAAAGAAATGAAAAGAAAGAAGACACAAAATAAGTAAGATCATTTTGCAGAAATAGAAAGTTGCACAATGATAAAATTCAGGCAAAAGACTCACAATACAACACACAGGACAGACATGAGCACCCACACCAATATTGAAGACACTACATTATCCTTTAAAAGTTAGCAAATCTGTAATAATGACCATCCATTCTGAAAACAAATCAAAGTACGTAAAACCTCCATATTTGTGTCAAATCTAAATTGTAGATTTAATAATTTGCTCTCACATCATCTTTCCTAACACCCTCCAGGTAAAATGAAGATTGTTTTCATTTACTCATACCATTTGTTATAACATGTTCCTCTGCTGATTTGTTTTAATAATGGGTATCTTTGATCAGCTTTGTTCAGCATTTCTAAAAGTGAAATAAAATCTGTGCTTTATATTGTGCAGAGAATTTTGTATGAAGATTTCATGAGTTTTTGTTGTATCCTTAATGACAGTGAAGAATATTGCTCATATTTCTTAATTAGTTCTTTACTCACAAAGCAAATAAAGTAAATGAGAATAAATATAATTCACAAGGAAGACACTACATGGCTAATTTAAAAACAAATCTGAACAAAATATATAAAGTCAGGTCTTAAAAATATTTAAAAATCAAACTGTGATTATAATTTCCTCAAGTATGGCTTCAAATGCCTCATAGATGTAATATATTTCTACAAATTCCAAATTTGACAAAGAAAATGGGCAGGGATATCACTCAGCAGGTAAAGATGTGGGTCAACAACCCTAATGACCTGACTTTACTTCTTGGAATCTATATGGATAAGGGTGATTGACTCCTGCAACTTATCCTCTGACCTCCACAGGAAAAGCCTACTTCATAGCACATGTACAATCACACATACACACACACACAAAATGCATATTTGAAATTTTCTTTTTAAAGAAAAGAAGGAAATGTTAAAGAAGTGTGCAAGTGTGCATTTTTAAGCATGTAAAATAAAAGTGATGTTTTATCTCATAAAAATTAATCTTTCAAAGGTTCAACTTAAGGGCTTTAAAATAAACAGCACTGTTGAACACATAAATTATCAGTTTGCTGAATGTCCTATGCTAAAATGATCATATATCATATTGAGATAACTTTATGTGGGATAACTTTATCTCATTTAAGAGAATATTTCATGTTATACTATTTAAGCTCATAGCAGCTACATTTACTACTAGCACAAGGCCTCACTAAGATGGGACAAATAAACATTCTACCATGAATTGTGGGGGTGTAATGAGACCCCACCTTTCTCTGAAAAGCTGTTGGTACATAATTTTTTCCTGTTGGGAGGCATTTTTTCATTTCCTGCAATGTTTTAGGCAACTGAAAAGAATGAAGAGGAGAGAGGAGCAGAGGAATAGCTAAGAGGGATGCTTAAGTCATCAGCATTGGAAGGGGATAAGGAGTAAGTGAGCAGAGGTGAAGATGATTTTAGTCTAGTGACTAAAATATTCAAATTCTTGGGTCAAGATAATCAGGTAATGGACAAAATTTAACGAAGAAGGGATGTAATGCAGAACACTTAGGGGACAGCTACTCCTCTTAACTTTGTAGAAAATATAAAGGGACAATGACATCCATTCCAACAGAGAGGAAATTTCAATGTGTTGTACAAAAATTCTATGTCAGCGTCTTTATTCTGAGTGTCACTAAGTGATATGAAAGAATTTCTTCAGAGATATTATGCCCTGTAAGCAAAAGAGATGAGTATTAATCTCTATATCCCGGTGTTCTATTTTTTTCTTATGTTCAAATATTTTCAAATAGTATGAAGGTAGCTCCTAATAAAATCAGCTAAATATTGTCTATGTATGTCACATGAATTGTTCTACTATATCCATTGCAAAATACAAGCAAGCAAATACAAGACCACACACACACACACACACACACACAGGCACACATGCATGCACGCACACACACACGCACACGCACATGCACACACACCTTAAGTGACTTAGGAAAGAAACAAAAGCTACTCAAAGTCCACACTTTGCATTGATTCTTGTTACTTAAAGAAACAGCTGACTGCAGGTAAAATATCCCTTATGAAAAATGCATAGGGGCACACACATATATTAAAATCTTGATTTTTTTCATAATTGGCATACTTTAGTTATAACTAAAGGTAGTCACACATCTAATCATCCAACTTATTTATGTTTCTGATCCTTTATACAGAAAGACTGAAGAAATTATTAGTGTACTCACTTCATAGTTAAAGTCCATTAGTTATAACAAAAACATCTAAATTTTAAATTTACTTTACTTGATAAAATATAATAAAGTATGTCAAATTTCATTATAAATAAAACTATTATCTTAAGGCTGCTACAAACTAAGACTATGCTACATTTCCTATGACTGTATGCAGACACAAACACAGAAAATTATACATATGTTTATTATTTTGAGTATGCAAGTCCTTCTTCAAACTGTCACTCACACATTTCAGCATCAGAATACACTAATCCTCTCACTTCTGTCCACACTCCTCCTTTCTTACACGCTAATATAGGGTATTCTTTGTTTTAAGGATACATGTTTTCGCTCACTCCCCAATTGCCTTGGTTATCATCACAAGACTTTTGAATGACTCTACTCCCCTTTTTCCTTGAGTCTGCTTTGTGTAATTATACCCTTATTATCTTATTACACAATAATTTTATGTAATTCATTGAATTATTTTAGGCTTACTCTATTTCCACATTTAGTCAGGAGGGCTGTTAAGGACAAATAACAGAACAGGGTATTTTGTGGAATGAACCTCTATAACAAACACTCCGTGTATGATGAAAATTTTCTTTAACAGAAACCTCAGTGTGGAAGCCCTGAGACTGCTCCTAGCTGTGAAACTGAAACTGCTCTTAAAAGCTACTTTCTGTTCTGGGGCCCCTCATACACATACAATAGAGCATTCAGAAAGGGCAAGGGAGAGAAAGTGTGGGTCATGACCTGTTCAGAAAGGCATCACTCTTGATCCTGCTGATCATGGAGGAAATCAAAGGCCCAAAATAGCCAAAATAAATTAGCAGTTTCAAGAATACTATAGCGAGATCATAGATCAACTTAAAAACTATATGCACATACATATAAATAGAATGAGAACTGGATAATGAGTGAATGATATTTGACACTGATTTGATAAATATTTTTTTCTTTGCATGTGAAATTTCTAGTAAAGGACTGTAGAAAAGACAGCATAGAAAAATTAAAAATGAAATATTTCTGTGACATTAAGTTACCAGTTTTACTTCTTCAAATATCTAAGAAAAGAATATCGTCAAGAATGTTAAAGACTGATATAATCCATTATTTTAAATGTAAAACATAACCCAACAAGATATTTTGGATTGTTACAATAACTGGTGGGAGATAGTGGCTGACATTTTATTTTAATCACATGTTCAGAATTTCTATGAAGAACACTGATTTATGTGTGATGAAAAGTCATTGTTAATAGTTTCATGTCTATCATATTGACAAAATTTTATTTTCTTTTGCAGGACAAAGATTCTGCAGAGTACAAACAAAGGCTAGCTTCTAAATTGTACTTCCAAATGAAACAAAATAGTCACAATGATGTGTAATGCCCTGTTAATATGTTTGGAATTTGTACTTGGAAATTTTGATACATGTGTGTGCACTCTTCTGCTTCTATCTGTAGCATCACATTGAGCATCACTTTGAAATGTTTTTGATTTAGCAATCACCTGTACCTAAACCCTCATTTAAGGTCCCTTAATGTTTAAGTCAGCTGGGTGCTCAAATTCCAAGAATGAATGAGCTTTTAAGAGTAAGAGAAAAACAGGAAGAGCAAGGGGGAAATAGAAAAGAAAGGAGAGGAGACATGGGGGGGTGGGGTGGAAGATTGGGCTAGAGGAGGAGAACCCAGGAAATGCAAGAGGCAGAGAAGGGAAGACTATGGAGAGCAGAAGAAATTAAACCCAAAGAAAGAAAGTGGAGAGACTAGGTGCCCTCTGCAGACCAGCTCTGTCCTGGCACCCAGACTTGCTTATCTTGTTTTCTATTGAGTTATTTGTCCTTAATACTCAATAATACGGCCAGGAAAGAAATGATACATGAAATGATTTGCTTTTGTTTAGCAATGGAATTAGCGAGGGATACGATGACACGTTGTGCAAATTAATACTGTTTTAATGCATATAATATTATAAGGGGCAAAAATAGCCTTCAACAATGAAAGCATGGAGGTTTTTTGTTGTTGTTGATGACATTTTTAATTTAAAAAACAGACTCCTCCTCCTCCAATCCAAACATCAGCAAATGGCTGACACTCCCAGCTGTTTGAACAGATTGCTTCAGTGCTAATCCATTCTGGAAACACACTTACTGATCCAATTAAAATGAAGGAATCAAATTTTCATTTGAAAAACAACAACAAAGCTCTCAAGAAGAGTAATTGGAAGCTGACTAATAAAAATAATGCCACAAAAACACATGTGCAACCCCATCGCTTCACTGTAAAATTACTTCATTCATTTTACATATTATTGAAAACCTTCGTCTTTTCAACAAGACAAACATTTATCTTCTCAACCTGGAGTAGGACAAGGATGAGACGCGTGGTTGTGCATGTGCTTACAAAGATAGGTTTCAGACATGGGTCATACATGTATCAATGGATCAATATATCCATATAAAGATATCTGTGTATACAGAAATAGTTCTGAAAGTGATCACACTAACAGCATAATTAGAGCCCCATTTTATCCCACAATATTCCTGTTTTGAAAATCACTGAATCAAAGAGAACTCTCGCTTATACTGCTAAGCACTTCATTGAATAGATGATCTTAAAATGGGGTATTAACGCATCAACAATTGGAAATTTCATGTATAAAATAGCAAATATCTCTGGTCTTTGAAGTAAATAACAATGAATAAATTTCTCACCTGTGTTTCCTGGACATTCTGGTCAACATTAGTCAGCAAAGCATCTGGGAATGAGATTTTCAATGTCATTACTTGTTTTCTTTCTTATGATTTGGTGCTAATACTCTATTCACTTTGCTTAACAAGATGAACAATCATTTTTAATTTTACATTTTTCCATAGCTATTTCATATATTTACTAGTATAACAATTGATTTTAAAATACAATTTCTATTATATCAAAAATGTCTCAGCTAGGCAGTGGTGGCATATACCTTTAATCCTAGCACTCTGGAGGCAGAGCCAGGTGGATCTCTGTTTATTCGCGACCAGCCTGGTATACAAGAGTTAGTTCAGGACAGCCTCCAAAGCCACTGAGAAACCTTATCTCAAAAAAACCAAAGAACAAAATACAGAAAACCAAAATATATTTCTTCTAATGTAAGATCAATGCAATTCAATGAAACAGGTTTCTATTTCCATTTATCCAAGAATTAGCATTTCAGCTACAGGGCTATCTATGAAAACATGGAAACCACAGAGTTGAAAATCAGAAATAAAATTCGTTCAAGGCCAGCCTGGTCTACAGAGTGAGAGTGAGTTCCAGGACAGGCTCCTAAACAATACAGAGAAACCCTGTCCTGAAAAACCAACAACAACAAAAACCAAAAAACAAAATGTTAGATGTAATTTGGGAACATTTCTATGATAGTCATTTGAATTCTAATTATGTTTAAGTAATTGCAAAGTTATTAATTTGTATTACATGAAAAATATTATTTAGCTAATTCCATCTAGAATTCAGTGTATGTATAGAAGTATATGTGTTCATATTTAGACCTGTACAAATATACAATGTCCATATATTTTCAGTATTTACACTGAAACAGCTGAACACAGATAGAACAATTACCAATTACTTTGTTGGAATTAAAAAAATGCAAATTTTAATAAAGTTTCAAAGATGTTCATATTACCACCAAGAGAAAATTTAATATTCTAATACATTTCCAGCTATGAACTATTAATTTCTGCCTCAATTGTGATGACACCTTATTGCTAGGATAGCTGAGACGCAGGAATGTATTAATGATACCTTTTGTTTTGTGTAGACTTTTGTTCTAAAAAGGAGCAGTCATTTCTTCTCGAAAACAATGATAAGAAATACAAAATTAATGGTGTTTATAATGTCACTGCTGAGTGAGATTCCTTATTTTCACTTTTTAGTCTTTGTGTCAGGAACTGAGTAAGTTTTCAGGCTGGTCTTTGTAAATTATGTAACAAAATTGTTGACTTCGATTACTTTTCTCTTTCATCTATGCATTTTTATGAGATTGCCTTTTCTCTAAAATTTTATTTTATGTCTATAAGGGTGCACATGCATGTAGGAACCTGATAAGTCAGAAGAGACTGAAGTTCCTTTGCAGAAGAAGCTTCCATGTTGGTACTGGGAACTGAGTGCAGCTACTCTGAAGAGCGCTAAGTGCATAAGCACTGCGCTGTCTCTCCAGGCACTTTTAAAGACATATTTCATACATAAAAGACATTCAATGCCATTTTCCACTTTCACTATAAGGAATTCAATTATTTTTATATTAATAATAATAATTAATAATAATGCAATAGTAATATTAACAACCTAAGAAGAAAAGCACAGCTAATTCCTATCCAGCTCACAGGTCTATTGAAGACTTTCCCCAGGCTCACATAGAAATGCAATGCTAAAGGCTGCTTTCATGAGAAAATTGGTCTGAGGCAGAGAGGGAATGACCCTCACTCTAGCTGGCTGGAATGACTATGCATCATAAACTGCAGTTGTAAATAATCGAGGCTAAGAAAAAAATGATCTCTTATTTGTTGTCTTCTTTGAAAAGAGTAGTTTACATTTAGAAGATACTTACAGTGTCTTTTATTTCTACAGAAATTTTATTTGCATTATAAAAGAAGTGTTCTTAAGTTTATACCTAAACATAAGCAGAGAGGGATTACTGAAATTTAAGAAACAAGTGGCAGTTTATTGATAAGAATTTTGTGATTATTTATTTTCTACATAGAAGTTACAGTTTTGCAATGGAAGCAAATAAAATGACTGAAATTATATTGTCAGCAAGTGCTGTATGGATGCTGAAAACTGGAGTGAAAATATTTCACAAAAATGGAGAGAATGGATTGATTGTGTTAAAGTTTTGAAAATGAATTATTTTAGAGACATACAAATATTTTAGTGATAGTATTTCTGTGTCAGTGGATATATCTTAAAATTAGTTAAACAATATTTTAAAAGTAGGTAAAAATTGATTGGTTTAATTATTAGGTAGTAAGACCTCTCTTGACTACTTTAATTCTGGAGAAAAGTCGATAAAAAATAAACTGGACAGTGTCAGGATTTCTAATTCCTGCATCTAATTTAAATTGTTTTATACAACTGATTTATGTATTAATCAATTTGGAAGTTCCAAATACAACAGACATCAAAATAAACTGTTATTTGCAAGAACACTTAGGATACTATAAAGGCTGTGTATACCCTCTATGACATCACTTGAATTGTGGTTTCATATTTCTAAATCAAAGGATATTTAACCAGTAGGAACAAAAACAGCTTAGAGATGGATACATAATGCTCTGTCTAAACATTTGGAGTAAATAACTTTTTAAAATACTCTAATAACTAAGAGAGCATATGTTTGTTTTTCCATGTAACAAGCTGATGACATTATGGCTAAAATGAAGGCTAAATAATTAAGAAAAAGGAAGTAATATAATTTACTTATTTTGCTGTAGTTGGAAACAATAAAATGGGAGTGGGATGTTCAGTACATGGTAGGTTAGGTACACAATGTACCACATGGGAAAATGAAAAACAAGGAGAACACAGCATCTCTGATTGCTGCGATAACAAAATTTCTGAACCACAATTATCACAATGCTAATTAATGCAAACTGTTGTTTATGCTAATAGCAATACCTTTATCTCTAGAGTTACTTCTGTGTTTGTCTATTCATTTACTCACTCAGTAACCTAAGCAGTTATTTTGTGACAGTCATTATAATAAATAGCATTAATTATCTCCATAAGTAAAACTGCTGTAATATAAATGCACATGAAGACCAGATGACTTTCTTGACAGGCTAGACTTTTGTTGAACTCTCAAAACACAAACTTTTGTAAAGACTAAAGCACAGGGTTAGATATTTATGTTTAAGAGACAAGTGTTCAGGCATGTGGTAAATATACCCTTAAAAGTATCATGAAAATAGTAAAATTATTATTTTTACATCAGTCAAAATAAAATCCATATGATTTTATCAAATACTTTTAAATGTCTATGAGAAATGTAATATTCACACTCAAGTTTCCAGGAGAAGTATAAATAAGATGATCATGTCACAAACCAAGGAAGTTGTAAAATATTAAGTTTTCTAATAGTTTAGAGCAGGCATTCAGACTTGCCTGCTTTGTATTGTGTAATTTCAAGGTCTTTTTGTCCTCTAGAATCCACTCCCTTATAAAGACAAGAAAGCTTAGTCCATTCAAGAGTTTAGTATGATGTTTGAAAACTCAGAATGGGAATATTAAAATGCTGCTACCATTCAGTACTTCATTAAGAATAATGTTACCAGTGTCAGTGCGAAATACATAGTTGGAAGAAGACATCACCTTTATAACAGTGCTAAAAGTCACTCTGCTTTGCTTTCATGAAGTAAGACCAGACAGGTGACCTATTGTGTTCCCCAAGGGACCTATCTACAGAAACAGTGGAGAGGATTAGGCTTGGCTTAGTGAATAACAAAGCCTCAAAATAAATAAATAAACAAACAAATAAATAAATATTCTCCACAGGGAAGGAGTGGGCGAAGGAGTGGGCGTGAGGTGGGATGGGAGGGAGCAAGGGAGGGAGAGGGAACTGGGATAGATATGTAAACTAAGAAAAAAAAATTCTAAGACTGGCACTAAAGTCATCTCCAATTGCTTATATCTGACCTCCCACTTAATAGCATCAAGAGAAAGTACATATAAGATGTACCATTGCCAAATGAAAATTAATTGAATCTTTTGCATTTGCACAGAGGCAAAAATGGAGCTAATGATTTGAAATTTGAAGTTTAGCTTTAAGCAATGTTTGAGAGATGGGAATTAATATACTATCATTTTGAGCCAGAATTTATGGGCAAACTTGTAATCACCACCTTGGCAGTGGAGCAATGAGTTTGGGAAGACCCTCTGGGTAATTTTAATTACACAATGTGTTTGGAGTCAGCTTCAGAAACATGATTCCCTCTGTCATATGAAAGAAAACAAACAAATAAGCAACAAAAAGAAAAACAAATCTTTTAATTAATAACATCAATGTTGTGTTAAGCTTGCTCACTGTGATTCTTTATCATATATAAAATACCAACTTACACTATGGCAAAAATGTTATGTTCTATGCTGAGTAAATGGCCTATGTTTTTATATAAGATATATCCTCACAACAAAATCAAAATAAATCTAGTAGGAAAAACAAAATAAAACCATGCATATAATTTCTTAGCAACACCAGAGTTGAATATACATGAATCATGACTTCAATGAATCTCCAAGAATATTTTTCCCAGGAAACATAAGACTATTTTTATATTCTTTAAGATAATACATGCCCACAATGCTGAATTGGTTATGATTACATTTACCACAGTCTTTGGTTTGAAAAAAATGCATTTACTTTTTAAGAGACAAACATTCAGAAGCAGAATTATAGCCAGGAAGAGAAAAACAGTAATGACTTTCTACACTTGGTATTGTGATAACTCCTCCTTTAGAAGTTTTGATTTCACTTGGTGACAAAGAAAAACACCTGTTTGTGTAAAGCAGGCATATATACCATTGTTTAACTTGCATTAAGAAACTATAAAACACATTCATTCTACAGTTGTGTGTGGAATAAATGTGATCAACTTAATATTTCTATGGGTTAGTATATGATAAATATATAATGAATCCATTGTATTACTTTTCCAATAAAATAAAATAAGAAGTAGCTTAGAACAACTTTAGCACCAAATCCATACTGATGTTTAGAAGGTTAATTCCTTTAGCTTTCCTGAAAATTCTTAATTTGATTAATAAACTTAAACATTGAGTTGTTCTTTACAATACAATTGTCACTGTAAGCAATGCAGTGCCTTCATTTTAAAATGTCAATTATGTATAAACAGACCTCTCTTTAAATTACTTTTAAGTAAGACATTTCTTCTGATAACATTTCACACAGACACAGACACACACACACACACACACACACACATTTATTCTGTATGGATGGGGGAGGCACTAGCATGGCTGTCATCGAAAAACTTGAAGAAGTCCTCCCTCTCTTTCCACTTTTGGGTTCCATTCACTAAGTGGTCAGGCTCGGCTGTCTTGGTGCCTTTACAGGCTGAGACAGCTCTTAACTCTGTGATCACTTTTTAAATATGACTTGAGGTATAATGCCTAGATATTAGCCATGGGGTAGAAGAAGGCACTGCAACCATCTTTTGCTGCTACCACTCTTGCCATTTTATTAATATGACCTTCATGCCGATATATTAAGGTATTATATTGCCTATCTCTTCCTTGGAAGGTTTATTATAAAAATCCCAAAGTGTAACTATCAGGGACAAGAATTTCAAATTTCATTTTCCTCTGTGATTTTTCATGGTAATAGATTACAAAAACCTTTCTTATTTGTACTGCACATTTGAAATAGTTACTTTTCCATAGCAAATGTCAGAAATGCAGGGGAGAGTCCACATCCCACTCATAGACAGATTTCTCATAGGAGATAGCTCACATGACCTCAGTGAGTTATCATAGGGACAATATTCTTTTAATGCTCCATTGAGAAAGGGCCCTTGCTTGGCTCTAGCTCTCTCAACAGGAATGGTAAGAAACTTACTTGGCTTGGTTTGTGCTCTTTGAGATGTGGACCCCTCTGTGACAGAAGCAGGAGGGCAGCTAGCTAACTGCAAGGCAGTTGAGTTGTTCCTGTTAGTGTTTTGAGACTCAACATTTGTGACAGCTTCACTCTGCGGCTCAGCACTTGGCTTCGCGCCAGTCTTTCGTTTCTGCTTTTGAGACACAGACCCACTTGAAGTCCAGGTAGGAGGCAAAGCAGAGGTAGTGGTAGATGAGTCCTGACTCGAACATGTTTCTGAAGACTGAATCGCATTGTCACTGGCAACTTTACAGCACTGGGCATTTTCTTCATGGCCCATGGCTTGTTTGGAAATGGACTGCGGCAGTGTGACACTGCAGCTTTGCATCTGAGCCCCATTAGTTTGAGAATAAACGTTGCTAACCTTGGTAACCTTGTGTTGCCCATTATTGTTACAAACCTTATACCGGATCATTAGTATGATGATGAAAACCAACACAGAAGCAACAATGATCCCACCAATGATAATAATCATGGTGCCGCCCAAAAACTGGGACTGCATAAAGTGGCAACGGACATAATCCTGTTCCGTAGTAAACTGGATGCAACCCACGACTCTTGTGGCAGTGAGGGAAGTGATGCCATCGTCATATATAGCCAACACACACAAGTCATACATAGTTCCAGAAGCCAGATTATTGACCAGAAACGTTTTGCTCGTAGGAGGTATCATTCTGAGGGACAATGGAATATGTGTTAATATTAAAAACAAAACAAAATACACATACACAAAGTCATCATAGCTTTAGTTCTGTCTCCTTCAGTACTCATCAAAATAAACACTTTTATAACAGATATGAAACATGGAAAAATGATCCGATATTATACTTACCCAGTTAGAGTAACTGAAAGCTCATTGTTACCGTCTGCATTATATTAATGGTGCCTGCTCCATGCCTTGACAAGTTTACTAATTACACTGCTTGGCAAAGCTGGGCTCCTGATAAAAGCCATTGCTAAAATCATTTATGACAAATTGTTTTGGAAAGGTGTGACTGTGACATTATCTGACTACTAAACAAATCCATTTAGCACTTACAATACCTCTATGACTGAAAGGCAATTTGAAAAAAGAGAAAATACTGACAATCACATTAGCAAGCAGAATGGAACAGCAATTCAGAGCATTGGCTTTCCAAATCTGTAATGAGCTGCTATGGAATGGTATCTACTAGAGCTGTCTATAATAACTTCTACTGCTACCAGGATGAACAGATTTTATTTACAGACATCGTGATTTCTTATGCCTTAGCTCCCAGTACTTTTTAATGAGTGTGATGTGCATGTGTGAGTAATAACCTGAACACACGATGAAGCAAAGCTGTTGATAAGAGTGTGAGTTCATCCAACCATCATATTCGGGTGAGACTCTCCATCAAGAAACAGTTTTTAGGTTCAGAGATATCTCTGGATCCATTCTACTGTAAAGACTTTTCTGTATTCCTATTTGTTGCTAACTTTTCCCCTAAAGCATAACCAAATATAACTTAAAGTAAAATTAATTTGGAAGTAAAGGGTAAGTCTATAACTTCTCCTAAAAACTAGTTACAGAAATTTCAAAACAATGACATAACTAAAATGGGATACAAGCTATACAGTATGTTCTGAATGTACCAGGAAACTCACAAGAGCATGTACTCATAACCAATCATGCCTGCCATTCAGCGGAGGTAGGCATGAGTTCAGCAAGGTTCTCAGAACCACATAATTTATTTCTCAAAACAGGATAATAACTTTGCTATTTTAAAAGCAAACTGCAGCTTGTCAAGAGATAACTCTAAAACTGTACAATCAATAAATTAAAGGGTGGTGAATTCAGCATCTTTCATGGACCACTGGTTGAATATCATCTGTGGACATGTGAAGTGTGTGGGAGACAGGAGTAAACTACATTTCACTAATGCTCATATGTCATAGTATGCCACCACATCCATTTACTGATGAGAGGGATATTAGAAACCACTTAGCCTAATCGTTCTTTAAAAGATGAGGAAATTAAAACTCAACCAGGTAGAACCTGGTCCAGGATTGATTATATAGCTAGCTAGGATGCCTTTTTATTCTTCCCACTGGTCTTCACTTATTTTAAGAAATTAATCTCATTTTCAGACATGAACCAAAAGCAATTTACTTTCAAGAATTTAGCTACTGTATAAAGCAACCAAACTGATCATTAAAAAGGTTATTTTTTTTTTTCAAAACTGTGACTTTACATTATTTCCTAGGGGTAATAATAATCTGTCATGAGTAAAATTATATTTGGTAAAAATGTGCATTTCCAACTCAAAATTGGGTAAGATGTGACTATAAATCAATGAGGCTGAACTTTAGAAAAACATACCAGAAATTCACTAGCCAATATAAGTTCTCCATTCCTGTTCTGTCCCAGTATTTGAATATTTAATTAAAGCGACATTTCCACTGCTCAAATTACTCTGCATATCCTCTTTGGAAGTGTCTTAAGAACCCATGCACATGACACAGCAAACATGCAAATAACTCAGTCACCCAAAGAATCAGTCTCAGTACTTTATAGTTACATCCAATTGCTTTGATCAAAAGTGGCACTGCCCATCTTGATCACCCACCTTATTCACAAGACTTGGCTCCAAAAGGCTTGTTTCCAAAACTGAAACTCACCCTCAAAAGACGAAGATTTGTCACCATTGAGGATATTCAAAATAGTATGCCGAAGGTTCTAAAGATAATTCCAAAACTGCTTTGAGCAAAGGCAGCATCATTGGGGTAATGAGATAGCCTCCCAACGTGACTTCCTTGAAGGAAAGAACACTCATGTGGATGCGTATATTCTGGTATGTTTTTGAAATTTTAAATTAAATCTGCCTTGTTGTCTGATAGTCACATCCCTCATATGAGGCAAGACATAAGCATATTATTAAAGATAGATGCATAATATTTAAAACAATGCCATTCAAAATACTTCCCCCATATGTATTCACCATTTCATATATTGAATTATACAGCATAAAGTCATACGGTTACAATTACATCACAGAGTAGTAGTGTCAATTTAGAGTCAAAACAAGGCAGTGGTGCTTTCCAAATCCTGCACTATCGTGGTCAGCAAAGATCCAAGATGCTGTATCTGTCTTACCTGTAAACAAGGGTGTCATCGTAAGTACCATTGTACTGGATTTGAAACATTCGGATTCCGGGAATATTTCTCTGAAAATTAAATTTAAGTAGTGCTGTTGAAGAAGTTGCTTCTGCCACCACAATTTTTTCTTGACTCATTTTAGTGTCACCATTGCTACTACTAGCATTTGAACCTGACTTAGTAGAAGTGGAGATATCTGAAGAACCAGGATCAGGTTCGTGGATATGATTAGTACTGTTTAGTAGGTGAGGGAGTTTAATTATATGAAGGTCCACGGTTTGTGTTGCTTCCCCTGCAGGATTGGAAGCAATACAGGTGAAAGCACCTGTATCTTTTACAGTTGTTATAAGGATGTCAAGTGTTCCGTTATCATACACCAGAGATCTTGTTGCATTTGAAATAAGCTTCCCTTCAGGAGAAATCCAGTGAATTGCAGGTTCAGGGTCTCCTCTAGCTTTGCACCTCAGAGTTGCCCTTTGACCCTCCAAGACTCTCATCTCATGTGTATGACGAGTAATAAGTGGGGGCTCACACAAAAACTCTTCCTCAGGAATTGACCAAAAATAACGACCAGTCAAGAGTGCAGGAGAAGCACAGGTCTCAAGGTCATCTTCTCTGGACAAGCGCCTCAGCCACAACAACTCACAATTGCAATGCAAGGGGTTTCCACCAAAACTCAATGCAAACGTTGATGGGCTTATGATTCCTGAGGTGGCCAGCACCTGTGCTCTCTGAAAGAGAGGGTCAGGGGGTAGCTTCTGCAATTTATTTGACGTTACATCTAACCGAGTCATCTTGTGCAAGTGGGAGAAAGTTCCCTTAGGAATGTTGTCAATCATGTTGTGATCCAAACTCAGGGTGTGTAAGCTCACCATCTTCTCTACAGCATCCCAAGGGATCGTTTCTAGATTATTATAGGACAGATCCAGCTCCTCAAGAGCAAAAACATCATCGAATGCTGTGGAAGAGATTAAAGTCAGCTGATTGTTGTTCAGAATCAAATGATGAAGATTGGAAAGCCCACTGAACATATCATTTGTAATTTTAGTCAATCTGTTGCTATTCAAATGCAAAGCTCTCAAATTTCGTAGATCAGCAAAAGCATGGGGTGTAATAAAACTTATTGTATTCCTGGACAGAGTCAGGTCCACCAAGCTGGTCATATTGGCAAAATCTTTCCTTTTGATATTTGTAACAAAATTGTCTGCCAGACGTAGTTCCACAGTTCTTCTGTCAATGTTTGGTGGAACAAAAAGAAGCCCTTTCTTGGCACAAAGGGTTGCAAGATTAGGAGACAAAATCTGACAGACACAACGCTTTGGACAGATCTGAGCTCGCACAGCTATTCCAATGAGAAACAGGTAAAAAAGGAATTTTTCCATTGTAGATCAGGTTTAAGAGCCTGCAAAGAAAGATATAAAGGAGAGTTTAAAGTCCAATGATAGCATATTTCCTATATATATACTAGAACAGTTTACATAGATAGGAATAGAGAAGCAGTAGTATTGGTTAAATACATAGGGAGTATTAAGTGTACCTTCTCTAGTAGAACCTGTGATAGACACTATGGCAGAATTATATATTTCTTCACAGGATTTAAGGAGATTTAAGGAAAAAATGTCAAAAGAGTTCCATCATTCTGTAAATGAAAGGCCATTTTATAATAAGTTCAAGGTACTTAAAAAAGCTAAAAACAAACAACCAAAGACAGACAGACAGTCAGACACACACACACACACACACACACACACACACACACACACACACCAATGACAACAAAACAAACCTAGACAATTAAGCCAGCACTGGAGATCTAAGGGACTGGAAAATCTGGCATTCAGAAATAATAATTTGAATTTTGAAAAATCCTTTTTACACAGTGAGTTCAAAATATGTGAGAATATTCACTTGTCTGGTGCAGAAGGAGGTGTAGACTGTTTAATGTTGGATTTCTTTATAACAAATACTTAGAGGAAATTATTGGTTACATTATATTTATTATTACAAACTTTGGGTACATTGTTGAACTTTCATATTCTGGCCACAAAAACAGGAACTTATTCTCAAAGAAAGAGTCTAAAAATGTATCATAAAATCTCAAACTCTTTACACTGTGAAATATTTTACCTATGAATTTACCTATGAATATGGATTGTTAAAAACTATTTGAAAAAGAAGTTATTACAATAATAAAGACTGGATACAAAAGATAAGACATTTTCTTTTCCTTCACATTTTTATCTGAAGTGTATGCCTTGAAATCAATCAACAAAAGTAATAAAGCAATATAATTGTGATTATAATTTTCCATACATATACATACATAAACAAACACACACACACACACACACACAAACACACACATATGAATGAAGAAAGTTTCATAACACAGGAGATAAAATAGCTGTAGGATATCACCTCAGTTTTATTTTGTTGTATTGTTTTATGAGACAGGGTTTCTCTGTATTGCTTTGGAGCCTGTCCTGGAACTTGCTCTGTGGATTAGGCTGGCCTTGAACTCAAATAGATCCACCTGACTCTGTCTCCTGAGTCCTGGGATTAAAGGTGTGTGCCGCCAACACTCAAATATCACCCCAGTTTTAAAGGAATGTAAACAAGATATGTAGATTTTTTAGAAGCATTGCATATTTTTCTAAAAGTATTATATAATAACATTTAGTAATTGTGTACTATAAAATGTGGATATAATTACTAACAATTACTATTCTCAGCAGATAAAGTCTTATTTTCTTGATAATTGTCCTTTCCAAAGGGGGGTGGAGTGAGAGAATACAAAAATGGAAAAAGAACACAAAATTTTCAGAGACACCAAATAATGATGCATGGAGCTCTGAAAAGTGTAGTAGTAAATTTAAAAAGTGAAGTCTGATTTCTCTAGGAGACATTATCAAAACCACAGCACAGAGGTGGGGGGGGGAGAAGGGGGAGAGCAGGTGAATCATGAGCAGTTCAGGAGAAGGAGGGGCTTAAAAACAGATCCTGACTGGTAAACAACTTGGCCAATGGCAGACATGTAGGTAGATCTTGCAAAGTGGACCACAAAAATTTCCTGAAAAATTCATGAAACTATTCAACAAAACACCAAATAACCCTATTTAATAATGGGGTACAGAACTGAAGAAAGAATTCTCAATAGAGGAAATCAAAAAGGCTGAAAGACACTTAAGAAAGTGCTCAACATCCTTAGCTATCAGGGAAATGCAAAATAAAACAACTTTGAGATACCATCTTACTCCTGCCAGAATGGCTAAAATTAGAAACACCAATATGGACAAAGGAGAACACTCCTCTAGTGCTGGTGGGAGTGCAAACTAGTACAGCCATTTTGGAGATCAGTATGGTGGTTCCTCAGGAAAATGGGAATTAGTTTACCACAGGAGAGAGGGAGGGAAAGAGGAAGAGGGAACTGAGATCGACATGTAAAATAAAAAATAAAAAAAAATAATAAAAAGGGGGAAAAATTAAAGAAAAATCAAGTGAGAACAATCCTAACAGAACAAAGGCAAATATAATTGGGGTCAGAGGAAGAAGGAAGGCAACAATACACTTGTAGAAATATAGCTAAGCTATTTTCTAAACATTATTTTAAAAATGTGTCAGTCTGAGCTGAACATAAAGAAGCCATACCTAGAGAAACTATAATTTAGTTGTAATAACCAAAGTGAAGGATATATTAGATATTATTGTAAGGTGAGCATAATAACAATACTGACTGGTTGGTGACACTTCTACATAAATAAAGGATGAGGAATAAGGAAAATGAGGTCAACTGGCTCTAATAAGGGGAGAAACATTGTAACTTCTTTAAAGTAATATTTTCATAAAATATGAAAATAAAGAAAATCATTATCAGAGAAACATTTGTATTTCTCACCAACAAACAAGACATTAGGTATAAGAAGATAGGCTGGATATTCTCTTGAGGTTGGAGGAAAGTTGTGTCTAACATCAGAAACTTGAAACTATTAATCCATTGGAGAACCACAGATATGATACATTTCTGGCTAAGAACAAAGTGTCATTTTATTATACAGAAATAGTGCATTTATTTTTTTTTTTTTAAGTAAAAAGAAACCACCATTGCCTCTCTGGCTACCAACGGGAAGAAAACTCACTTTAAGATAATAGCATCATATTGTGGCGATTGTAAAAAAACAAAGTAATTTAACTCATGTGATTCAAAGAAATGGTCCATTTAGATAACTACAGTAGAGTAGTTCTAAGTCTCAGAGAGAAAGCAAAAATAAATCTATCAATTTAATATGAAATATAAAAATGCAGAGAAGAAAAAAAAAGACAAAATGTAAAGTGAAAGAAAAGGAAATGATTCATATGAGAGAACAAATACAAAATTATAATTAGAAATACCAAATAGAAACAGAAAAAATCAAGGTAAGTTTTTAGAAAGTACTGTAGAATTGATATAAACTTCCCCCTGTGGAAACTGAAAAAAAAAACAATAAACAAAAACAACAACAGCAACAACAACAAAAAACAAGATCCCAAATAAAGGGAACATTAAGGAAAATACCAAGATAAACTAAAAGGATTTTTAAAAGCAAACAAATATAATGTGAATGCAATGTGCTGTTGAATAACAACAACTGTGACAATGTAAATAAAAGGACAAATTCTTCATAAAATACAATATACTGGCTCTGTGGGTCCACTCTGAGTTCCTGCAGGCAAGATCCTTGACCCCATAATCTGGGCCTCTGCTAAAGAAAGAGGCCTCAGCTGGAGAGTTCCAGTTTCAAGTGAGATCAGAATATCCTGCAAAACCTTCCCAAGTTCCAGCTCAGCCCTTGTCCGCTACTGCCAGATATTGGCCAAAGGTGAGTCTAGGCCCAATCAGGGCTACCTGCCCCCTACAATCTCTCCCCCCCCCAACCCTGCCCAAACTCCCTGGGTTGGCCCCTGATCCTGCTGCTCCTGTCTCCTGTCCACATCGAGGGCACCCTTGAAGCTCTGATACACCCCCACCCATTCCCACCGTAAGCCTGACCCCCTACCCTGTGCCCTACCCTGCCCACTCTCCCAACACACTGGGACAGAGGGTGGAACCAACAGTCCACCCTACTTCAGAGACTTCTCTGAGCAACTCTAAACAAAGGAGACCTGAATATCCATGCAGGATCACCTGTAATTTCCACCTGCTTGGTCTCTGACCCCACCTCCAGTCCTCTGCTGGAGTTCCGGGCCCCTCTCACAGATCTGCCTATCTCTGCAGGACCACTGTGAGTACCTGCTGGCATCTTCTACTGGATCCTCATCCTTGACCCCATCCCTGGGTCCCTGTCTTCTGAGAAACCTCCTAGAGAGCTTAGACCACACAGAGCTACAGATATTGAATCTCAGACCCACATAAGCCCACCGGGGAAGTACCATAGAGAGAGGGGGAGACCCCACCAACACCTACTGGAAGAAGCTATGGGAGGAAGGCAATACAAGAAAACCCTTAACAACAGAAAGACAAGCATGGCATCACCAGAATCTAGGGAATCTACACGAACTAGAATGGAACACAACAACAAAGCAGAGGAAGCAGAAGGGAACAACTTAAAAATTACCATCATAAAAATGATAGAGGCCCTCAAAGAAGATGGGAGAAAATCCCTAAAAGAAATGGAGGAAAAAACAACCAAAAAAGTGGAAGAAATGAACAAACTCCTTAAGGAAAGTACAGAAATCCAAGAAAAAACAATTAAGCAGGTGAAGGAAACAGTTCAAGACTTGAAAACTAAAATAGAGAAAATAAAGGCAACACAAACCGAAGGAATGCTGGAAATAGAAAAACTGGGCAAAAGATCGGGAACTACAGATGCAAGCATAATCAACAGAATTCAAGAGATGGAAGAGAGAATATCAGGTGCAGAAGATAAACTAGAAGAAATAGATTCATCGACCAAAGAAAATCATAAATCCAACAAATCCTTAAAACAAAACATCCAGGAAATGTGGGACACCATGAAAAGGCCAAACCTAAGAATAATAGGCATAGAGGAAGGTGAGGAAGCCCAGCTCAAAAGTGCCAAGAACATATTCAACAAAATCATCAAGGAAAACTTTCCAAATCTGAAGAAGGACATGCCCATGAAAGTACAAGAAGCATACCGAACCCAAAATAGGCTGGACCAAAGAAAATAGATCTCTTGACATATAATAATCAAAACACCTAGCATACAGAATAAAGAAAGAATATTAAGAGCAGCAAAGGAAAAAAGACTGGTAACATATAAAGCAGACCTATCAAAATTACACCTGACTCTTCCATGGAAACCCTCTAGGCCAGAATGTCCTGTATAGATGTTCTCAAAGTATTAAAAGATTTTGGATGCCAGCCTAGGCTACTATATCCAGCAAAACTCTCAATCAATATAG